TCTTGGTTATAGGTCCTTGCTTTTTATCACTTTGAATATTTCTTGCCACTCCCTTCTGGCGTGCAAAGTGTCTATTAAGAAATCAGCTGACAGCCTTATGGGAGTTCCCTTGTAGGTAACTAACTGCTTTTCTCTTGCTGTCTTACAGATTCTCTCTTTGTCTGAAACCCTTTGCATTTTATTTTATTTTATTTATTTATTTATTTATTTTAAACCCTTTGCATTTTAATTATGTGTCTTGGTGTGGGCATCTTTGGGTTCATCTTGTTTGGGACTCCCTGCACTTCCTAGACTTGTCTATTTCTTTCACCAGATGAGGGAAGTTTTTTGTCATTATTATTATTTTTTTTAAAATATATTTTTATTGAATTTAGAGAGAAAGGGAGAGGGAGAGAGAGATAGAAACATCAGTGATGAGAGAATTGTTGATCAGCTGCTTCATGCACACCCCCTACTGGGGACTGAGCCTGCAACCCAGGCATGTGCCCTTGACCAGAATTGAACCCAGAACCCTTCAGTCCCCAGGCTGACACTCTATCCACTGAGCCAAACCAGCTACAGCTCTGTCATTTTTTTTTCAAATAGGTTTTCAGTTTCTTGCACTCTTCTTCTGGTACCCCCATGGTGCAAATGTTGGAATGCTTAAAGTTGTCCCAGAGGCTCCTTACACTGTCTTCATATTTTGGATTCTTTTTTCTTTTTTGCTGTTCTGATTGGGTATTTTTTGTTGTTGGTTGGTTGGTTGTTAATCCTCACCCAAGGATATTTTTTCCATTGTTTTTTTTTTTTTTTTTAAGAGAGAGTGAGTGAAAGGGAGGGAATCAGGGAGAGAAGGAGAGAGAGAGAGACACACACACATCAATTGTTTGCCTACTGCACACACCCTGACTAGGGTTGTGGATCATTCCTACAACCCAGGTATGTGCCTTGACCAGAAATCGAAACCTAACCCTTCAGTGCACTGGATGACTCTCTAACCACTGGACCAACCAACCAGGGCCTAATTGGTTTTTTTGCTTCCTCATATTCCAAATCACTGATTTGATTCTCAGTGTCCTGTACAGTTGATTCCCTGTAAATTATTCTTCATTTTAGTTAGTGTATCCTTCATTTCTGACTGGTTTTTTTGTATAGTTCCTATGTCCTTTTTCATGCTGTTGAAGTTCTTACTAAGGTCTTTGAAGTTCTCACTAAGTTCTTTGAGCATCTTTTATAATCATTGTTTTGAACGCTGTACCTGGTAGTTTGCTTGCCTCTGTTTCACTTAATTCTTTTTCTCGATTCCTCTTGTTCTTTCATTTGGGACATGTTTCTTTGTCTCTGCATTTTGACTGCTTCCCTATGTTGGTTTCTATGTATTAGGGAGAGCTGCTATTTCTCCTGGAATTGTTAGAGTGACCTTGTATAGTAAGTGTCCTGTAGGGCCCAGTGGTGCAGCCTCCCTAGTCACCTGCACTGGGAGCTCCAGGTGTGTCCGTCTGTGGGCTCCATACACTTCCTATTGTAGTTGAGCCTTTATTGCTGTTAGCCTCACTGGGAGAGATTGACCACCAGGCCAATCAGCTACGCAGGAGTCGACCCTAAGTAGCAGGACTTGCTTCAGTGGGGCTTTGGTGCTCACGAAGTCTGCCCCTTGAATGTAATGCTTGTGGAGGTGGCGGGGTTGTAATCCAGCATGATCTGAAGTTGTCCATCGGGTGTACTGGCTCTGGGGCCTCCCGGGAGGTGCAAAGTCAGCCACTGCCTGTGCCCTGCCTGGAACTGTTGTATCGCAAATCAGCAAGCTGGACAAGACGCCTAATGAGCCATTTAGTTAGGAGTCATCTTTATTGCGTGCAGGTTCAGAGCAGATTACCTCTGTCAAATTCTGAACAAACACAGAAGGGAGTATTTCCTTTTATATCCTTCTAGCTCAGTGGTTCTCAACCGTGGCTGCACATTAGAATCACCTGGGAATCTTTTTAAAATCCTGATTTCTGGGCCTCATCCTCCGGAAATTCTGTTTCTTTGTTATGGGGTGGGGCCACAACATTAGTAACAAAGTATTTCCAGAGGATGAGGCCCAGAAATCAGGATTTTAAAAAGATTCCCAGGTGATTCTAATGTGCAGCCAAGATTGAGAACCACTGTTCTAGTTCTTTGTGTAAGTCAGCTTTTAACCTTGAGTACATATCGCATCTAATCAAACACCTGTCATATCTATACAGACAACTTGTAACTTTGGATGAACAAACACTTGGCAGAATATGTGAATTAATATCAGTATCAGTGTATCAGCCCCTTTAGATGGCAAGCTTGCAAGGTCAGACAAGTAAGTTTATCTTTTCTATTATTCAAGCTAAAAACAAAGTTATTTTACAGTCTAAAAATAACAGAGTTGACCTACAGAATAAGAGACTGTCTAAGAATAACAGAGTAGTTCAAACAACAGTTTTAAACAGCAGTTTTCCAAAGGAGGGATTACTATGCTTCAGAACCACCTGGCACAAGGTACAGAGTGATCTGCAGATAGTTGCTACTTGTGTTGGGTTTGAAGGTGCCCAGGCAAGGCCAAAGCGGAAGCAAGGCGGGCTTCCGCTAGTGCTAGGCCTGGGGCCACTTAGGGTAAGGAGAACACAGAGGTCAGATGCTGCTCAGTTGAGAGATTTTAGTAAAGTCTGAAGCATGAGGCAAGAGAGGCCAGTTGTGTGGAAAAGCCACTGGAAACAGCTTGGATAAGCCCACAAGTTGGGTGGGGCAAGGTCTCAGGGAATCACCAGGGCAGAGCAAACAGTGTGAGCCAGATATGGCATCTCCCCCAATCCCCCCCCTGCATCCCCCTACACACCCCCACACCCCCCCCCCTCCGCTCCCCATTGGCTCTGCAGGGGAAGGCTCAGCAAAGGAACAATGAATGGCCTCTGCTAGCACTTTTGTCTGACAAAAAGCAGCTCACCAGCTCCTGATGCCAGACAATTTAGTTCTTCCCTTTATGTCCCTGGTTCCTTTTAACATGCTGCTCCATGCTGGAGCTCAGAGGGACTGAGCCTGAATAAGTCTGTGTGTGGCCCTTTAAAAGGAACTTCCTGGGACTCCAGCAGCCTCTGTGTCACTCAGTCACAGTCTCCACTGTTATTTACAGCCCAAAGTTATGGGACTTCTCTTCCTGGCACTGGAACTCTGGGCTGGGTATCTTGTGTGGGGGCTGGGACCCCTTGCTCCTTATGGGGAACCTCCACAGCCAAGATATTCCTCCTGATTATAAACTGCCACATGTGGGTGTGGGCCCAGCCTGTTCCACATGACCGCCCCTCCTACCGGTCTCAATATGGCTCCTTTTAATGTATTTTTCATTTGAGTTATTGTATTCTTCGGGTCTGCTTGGTTATTATACTTTCTAACTCTTTGTTAAAGTTCTCCCTAAGTTTTTCTATTCCACTGTTAAGTTTGGTGAGAATCCTTATAACCATTTCTTTTAAATTTTTATCAGGCAAATGACTTATCTCCATTTTTGTAGGGGTTGCCCCCTCTCACCCCCTCACCCCCCAAAGTTTTTCTTGTTTCTTCATTGGAAAGATATTCTTCTGTCTTTTCATTTTGTTTAACTTTCTATGTTTGCTTATATGATTAAACAAAATAACTGTCTCTCCCAGTCTTGAAAAAGTGGCCTTTTGTAGATGCAGCCTCTGTGTAGGCTGTTTGCCAGGTGGTTTCAGCAGGCTGGGAGGAGCTGAGCAGGTGCCTAAGGTGTCTGTCTGCGATATTGGCATACCAAGCCAGAGCATCGCTGGGTGTGGAGGCCAGGTGCATGTAGTTATGCTCTGTTGACCCTGCTTGCTCCATTTATTCAGAGCCAAAATGGTCTCAGGTGATGTATCCAAAAAAATCTACAGTGACCTTGCAGGTAGGCCAGAGCACCAGAATAGAGCTCCTGTCACCCCGTGGAAGTGGAGGGGGTGTAACCAATGGCACTCGCTGGCAACTCAAGAAAGTTCCTTCTGTTCCAAATCCCTGATGACCTGGGTTTCCCAGCCTTCTCTGTTAAGATTTCTTTCTCTCCTTTGCTGTTCAGAAGTTTTTGATTCGCCCAATGGTCGGCAAACTCACTAGTCAACAGAGCCAAATATCAACAGTACTTCTTCAAAATAGACTCGCCGAGGCGGAAAACCGACTTCTGTGCATGAGCCACGAAGTTTCAGTCGCACTGTACGTGCGCGCCTGCACGTGGTATTTTGTGGAAGAGCCACACTCAAGCGGCCAAAGAGCCGCATGTGGCTCTCGAGCCGCAGTTTGCCGACCACGGCAGTTGGCTTGGCTCAGTGAATAGAGTGTCGGCCTTTAGACTGAAAGGTCCCGGGTTCAATTCTGGTCAAGGGCATATGCCCGGGTTGTGGGTTCGATCCCCAGTAGGAGGCGTACAGGAGGCAACCGATCAATGATTCTCTCTCATCATTGAGGTTTCTCTCTCTCTCTCTCTCCCCCTTCCTTTCTGAAATCAATAAAAATTTAAAAAGAATTTTGTTGATTCAGCCCTCAGTTATTTTGCAGGAGTTTATACATGTATGTTTGATGTATGCTCATGGCAGGGGCCGACCCCATCACCATCTTGGACTCCAGTTTGTTTATATTAAACAAGAATCTAGCCTAACCTGGTTTGACTCGTTGGATAGAGCATCAGCCTGAGGACCAAAGGGCCCTGGGTTCAATTCTGGTAAAGGGCACGAACCTTGGTTGCAAGAGGCAACCAATCGATGTGTCTCTCTCACATCAATGTTTCTGTCTTTCCTTCTCTCTTCCACTCTCCCTAAAAATCAATGGAAAAATAGCCTCAAGTAAGGATTTAAAAAAATGTTTTTATGAGGAAGTGAGTGTGTTCAATAAATAATAGTTCTGACAACAAAGTTATAAAATAAATGTTGGGAAACCGCAGTGTCATATGTGAACTTGTTATGAATTAAGTGTCAATTGCTAGTGCTGTTCATCTCACCCATTCTTCTGTATACATATTTGGGATGTTTTAGGATTCTGTGGCCTTTGAGGATGTAAGTGTGAAATTCACCCTGGAGGAGTGGGCTTTACTGGATTCTTCACAGAAGAAACTCTACAGAGATGTGATGAGGGAAACCTTCAGGAACCTGGCCTCCATAGGTAAGGATGACAACTTCTTTCTTACTTGTCGGGAGCCAGTCCATGCTTGCTGTTACAAGGGACCTGGCATATATGGCATACTGTTCTTAATACGTTTGCTCACCTTCTTGGCACTATGTGTTTTAACCAAGGTCTCTGAGAAAGGTTGTTTCCCCAGGTAGGGATTTTCCCCTGAAGTTAGGGAGGGAATAAAACCTCTTAACTAAGTGCCAGGTGGGTAATTAATCACTTTAACTGGGAATAATCATGCTTAAGCTACATAATCTTTACTCCCTGGAATGGAGATAAGAAATGCCCTAACCTTTGTAATAGAGATTGATAGGATTGAATCAACTGGTATAAATACAGATGTAACAAGACAGCAAGAGTCAGAACTTAGAATACAGAGCTTAGAACACAGAACTAAGAAGACAGAACCTACACAGAACCTACAGACAGAAGAACTTCGCTGGAGAGAACATGGCAAAAGATCCTGGACTGAACCTGACTACAGAAATTGGCAAGAGAACCTGACTAGAACCTGGTGACTGAACCTGGCCAGAACCTGGCTGGAGAACCTGAAGAACCTAGCAAGAGAACATGGACACAGAACCTGGCTGGAGATCTGAAGCAGAACTTCGCTGGAGATCCAGACCAGAACTTGGCTGGAGATCCTGGCTGGAGATCCTGGATGGGCTGCTGATCAGCTGAACGCTGTCTCCGTGTCATTCCTTCTTCGTCGACTCCGTCCACACCTTTGGGGACCCCTGGACCCGCTGGGGTTGGACCCCGGCATATGGCGCCCGAACAGGGACCCCTAGGTAAGCCCCACTCTCGGGATGGATAGGACTCCACCGTAGGAAGAGGGTGGATAGTCTTCGCCGACTCCGTCCACACCTTTGGGAAGCCCTGGAACAGGATTCCCCTAGGTAAGCCCCTCCCCCCCCCATTGAGAATCCCCACACTCGGGACGGATAGGACTCCACCAGGGTACTGCAGACCCCCCTACAGAGGATAAGTAGGGTAAGAAGGTGGATAGTACAGAACTTAGATTGAGAAGATGTGCCATACTGAGTCCAAAGAAAGAAGACTCTGTATTGATTCTTAGATTGAGAAGATGTGCCATACTGAGTCCAAAGAAAGAAGACTCTGTATTGATCTTTACATTAAGAAGATGTGCCATACTGAGTCTAAAGAAAAAAGACTCTGTATTGATCTTTTAACACATATGCTTGCTAGCAGAGGAATTAAGGTTACTCCCAGTCAGACAGAACGTTTTATTTAAGAAGTATGTCCATGCTTTTCTGAGGAAGGAAAGGTAAATGTAAAGGCATGGGAGGAGGTAGGCCCAAGGAGCCTTATCCTTAACCCCACTGCAGCCTTTCCACCCTGGGAAAGTGCAGGATTGGCAAGCTCTCCCTGGGGTGATAGATCAGGACTCAGGTAATAGCGGAAAGCGCCAATCCTACTCTTAAAATGGATACAAGAGAGCATTTGGGGCTTTTCTTTTTAATGCCTGCTTTTAAAAAATAAAAAAGGGGGAATTTGCCGGGAGCCAGTCCATCCTCGCTGTTTCAAGGGACCTGGCATATATGGCATACTGTTTTTTTAAATATATTTTATTGATTTTTTACAGAGAGGAAGGGAGAGAGATAGAGAGTTAGAAACATCGATGAGAGAGAAACATCGATCAGCTGCCTCCTGCACATCTCCCACTGGGGATGTGCCCGCAACCCCGGTACATGCCCTTGACCGGAATCGAACCTGGGACCTTTCAGTCCGCAGGCCGACGCTCTATCCACTGAGCCAAACCGGTTTCGGCCATACTGTTCTTAATATGTTTGCTCACCTTCTTGGCGCTGTGTTTTAACCAAGGTCACCTCTCCGAGAAAGGTTCAATCCCCAGGTAGGGATTTTCCCCTGAAGTTAGGGAGGGAATAAAACCTCTTAACTAGTGCCAGGTGGGTAATTAATCACTTTGACTACGAACAATCATGCTTGAGCTACATAATCTTTACTCCCTGGAATGAAGATAAGAAATGCCCTAACCTTTGTAATAGAGATTGATAGGATTGAATCAACTGGTATAAATACAGATGTAATAAGACAGCAAGAGACAGAACTTAGAATACGGAACCAAGAGAGACAGAACCTAGGCACAGAACCTACACAGAACGTTCTCTAGAGACAGAAGAACTTCGCTGGAGAGAACATGGCAAAAGATCCTGGACAGAAACTGGCCTCAGAACCTAGAGACAGAACCTAGGGAGAGAACATGGCAAAAGATCCTGGACTGAACCTGACTACAGAAATTGGCAAAAGAACCTGACTAGAACCTAGTGAGGGAACATGGCTACAGAACCTGGCTGGAGACCCTGGAGAACCTAGCAAGAGAACATGGACACAGAACCTGGCTGGAGAACCTAGCAAGGGAACATGGCTACAGAACCTGGCTGGAGAACCTGGAGAACCTAGCAAGAGAACATGGACACAGACCCTGGCAGGAGATCTGAAGCAGAACCTCTCTGGAGATCGAGACCAGAACTTGGCTGGAGATCCTGGCTGGAGATCCTGGCTAGGCTGCTGATCAGCTGAACGCTGTCTCCGTGTCATTCCTTCTTCGCCGACTCCGTCCACACCTTTGGGGACCCCTGGACCCGCTGGGGTTGGACCCCGGCACTTACTTGCTTAATCGATTAGAAAAACAGTGTTGCCAAAACCGGTTTGGCTCAGTGGATAGAGCGTCGGCCTGTGGACTGAAAGGTCCCAGGTTCAATTCCGGTCAAGGGCATGTACCTGGTTGCGGGCACATCTCCAGTAGAAGATGTGCAGGAGGCAGCTGATCAATGTTTCTAACTCTCTATATCTCTCCCTTCCTCTCTGTAAAAAATCAATAAAATAAAATTTAAAAAAAAAGAAAAGAAAAGAAAAACAGTGTTGTTTGCTCATCAGTGGATTTCCAATGAGTAGAATGTGGAAAGGAGATGTATTGGTAAATAAATCAGGCATGGTCACAGCTCATCATGGATTTATTATGTAACAATTTTTCTGTAAGTTATTTTTCTTTGATTTTTTTAGGTGTGTGTTATTTTTTTTTATATGAGGTTTTATGTTTATAATTTTTCCTGGTCTGCATTTTAGGAGAAATATGCAAAGACCATGACATTGAAGATCAATATGAAAATCATGGGACAAATTTAAGGTGAGTCACACTGACATGAGAAGCAGTGTTCCATGAATCTCAGTAAATCTTGAAATATTTAAAACTGCACATAAAACAAATCAGCCAAGTTTTTTTTATTCTTGCAATATTTTCATCATAATTTTTTCTCACATGTGATTTAGATGTTTAGTGTTTCAAAATTAGTACATTTGGAAATAGTATTTTGAAACTCCATTTATGAATAAACTGTTTTAATAATAGCTATGATTGAGCTCTCTTGCAAAACATTTAGAACTTTCAAACAATCAGAAAGCACTAAACACTTATAGTTTCCTTAATTATGGTTAAAAAAAGTCATTTAATAACTATTAATATAAACACATTAATAAATAATATGCTTTTCACTTTTTACAGCACTCATATAGTAAAGAGACTGGGTAAAAATAAACAAGGTAGTCAATATGGAGAAAACTTCAGCCAAATTCCAAATCATAATCAGAAAAAGAAAACTTCTTCTGGATTAAAACTGTGTGAATGCAGTGTGTGTGGAGTCTTCATGAATCATTCATTCTTTAGTAGGCATATGAGATCTCACACTACACCCAAACCATCTGAGTATCAGGAATATGAAGAAAAGCCATATAAATGTAAGGAATGTGGGAAAGCTTTCAAGTATCGCCAATCCTTTCGAAGGCATGAAAAGATTCACACTGGAGTGAAGCCCTATATATGTAAGCACTGTGGTAAAGCTTTCAGTTGTCTCAGTTATTGTCGAACTCATGAAATATCTCACACAGGAGAGAAACCGTATAAATGTAAGCAATGTGGTAAAGCTTTCATTTGTCCCAGTTACTTCAGAAAACATGAAAGAACACATACGGGAGAGAAACCATATGAATGTAAGCAGTGTGGTAAAGCCTTCAGCTGCTTTACATCCTTTCAAAGCCATGAAAGGAGACACAGTGGAGAAAAGCCCTATGAATGTAAAAAATGTGGCAAAGCCTTCACTTGTCCAAGTTACTTTCGAAAACATAAAAGAATTCATACAGGAGAGAAACCCTATGAATGTAAGCAGTGTGGTAAAGCCTTCAGTTGTTCCAGGTCCTTTCGAAGCCATGAAAGGAGACACAGTGGAGAAAAGCCCTATGAATGTAAAATATGTGGCAAAGCCTTCAGTTGTCCAAGTTATTTTCGAAAACATGAACAAAGTCATACTGGAGAGAAACTCTATGAATGTAAGGAATGTGGGAAGTCCTTCAGTTGTCCAAGTTACTTTCGAAAACATGAAAGAAATCATACTGCAGAGAAACCCTATGAGTGTAAGGAATGTGGGAAAGCTTTGAGTTCTCTTACCAACTTTCGAAGACACATGATGAAGCACACCGGAGATGGGCCTTACAAATGTAAGGAGTGTGGGAAGGTTTTTGACTGTCCAAATTACTTTCAATATCATGAAAGCACACATAGTGGAGAAAAGCCATATGAATGTAAGGAATGTGGTAAATCCTTCAGTACTCCCAGATCCCTTCAAAATCATGAAAGAACTCATACCAGAAAAAAACCCCATGAATGTAAGGAATGCGGTAAAGCCTTCAGTTTTCCCTGTTCCCTTCAAAAACATGAAAGAAGTCATACTGGGGAGAAACCCTATAAATGTAAGCAATGTGGGAAGGCCTTCACTTATCTCAGTTCCATTCAAAAACATGAAAGAGCTCATAGTGGAGAGAAGCCCTATGAATGTAAGGAATGTGGGAAAGCCTTCATTTCCCTTTCCAGTGTTCAAAGACATATGATAAAGCACACTGGAGATGGGCCTTGTAAATGTGAGGAATGTGGGAAAGCCTTTGATTGTCCTAGTTCATTACGAACACATGAAAGAACTCACACTGGAGAGAAACCCTATCAGTGTAAAAAGTGTGATAAAGCCTTCAGTCGTCCCAGTTCTTTACGAAGTCATGAAAGAGCTCATAACTAAGAAAAAGTCTGAATATAAGGAATGTGTGAGAACCTTTTGTGGACACGTAAGAATGCACACTGGAGAGATACCCTATGTGACAAGCCTTTAGCTATCTCATTTCCTTGGGAAGCCACACCCAAAAACAGACAAACAAAAACCTCACAGTGGAAAACGTTCTAAAAGTAAACAATATAGGAAAACCTTCACTTGTCTCAAATCCCTACAAAACCATGTGAGAATGAATACTGGGTAGAAACTGTGTAAGTGAAAAAAATATAATTTTTAATTTTAATATATTTTCAAAGTGGTGTGAAAACTGCATTGGAAATAAATCATATTAATGTAACTAATATGGGTAACCTGTTAAAATGAGGTTACTATAAAATTTTCATGATATGAAATATTATAAAGGTTATACATATATGGTCTTATTATTATTAACTTATTCTTTAAGTAATACTCTGTAGTATGGGGTCCTACTTGTGTAAGTAAATATTGAAGTGAGGTAATTCTGTAGATCTGTGGGTGAATTGAAGTGTATTTCTAGCATTCATGTAGGTTAATTTTTATATAATTTTGTAATTGATCCATAAGAAAAGGACCATTGAAAAAAATGACATTTGGTATTTGTTTTTTGTTTTCCTACTTGCCAATGGTGACAAGTACTGGATATGTTTTACCCTTTATATACGTGTGTATTCCACCTTTCTTTCTTAATAGAAAACTATTTTTCATTTGCCTGAAGAGCCTTATTGTTTTTCTTGCCAATAAATACATATGTAAGTGTGCAAAGTTCATCGTGGAGTATAGTCTCATGAATTATTTTCATCTGTTGTTCCTCGTTGTTTATGATTCCTTCTGTTTGGGCTATGGAGTGTGCATTAAGAAAAGAGATCTGTGATAAGACAATAAAATCTAGACTTTGAAATAAGCCTTCTTAACTGTTATAACAACATGAGTAATGTTGTGAAATACAAATGTTGCCTTTCTGGTTCCATGTTAGAATTCACCGAAGATGCAACTTGGAACACAGAAGTGAAATAGGATTAGGCAGGTTTTGGAGGCACCTGTATAGATAAGACAGACAGATGCATAGGGCCTTTGTGAACATTTGCTTCCAGACCATTTTCTTCATTCTTTGCTCTGCCAATCAAGAATATCCTCCTCGGCCATAAAAAGGAATGAATTGATACCATTTGCTATAAAAAATGGAGGGACCTACAGGGTAATTTGTTAAATGAAGTAAGTCAGTCAGAGAAAGACAAATATTATATGATTTTACTGATAGGTGGAATCTAAAGAACAAAAGAAACAAACAATATTGAAGCAGACTCTAGATAGAATAGACTGATTGTAGCCAGAAGGGAGGGGAATTGGGGATCTGGGTGAAAAAGATAATGGGGTTAAGAAGTTCAAATCGGTACTTACAGAATAGCATGGGGATATAAAGTACAGCATAAGAAATATAGTCAATAATATTGTAATGATTATGTATGATGCCAAGTGGGTACTGGAAATACTGGGGGAGACACTTTATAAAGTATATGACTGTCTAACCACTGTGCTGTACACCTGAAACCAATACAAAATAATCTATAATAGCAGCCTAGGTGGTCGGCGCACCCTCACACATCACACCCTAACGTCGTCACAAAATGGCTGTCACAAGATGGCCGTGCGCATTGCAGAGGCAGGGTCCGGCAGAGGAGGTGGGTTGCAGCAGGGGAGGGCAGTTGTGGGTGATCAGGCTGGCAGGGGAGGGCAGTTGGGCATGATCAGGCCGGCAGGGGAGGGCAGTTAGGGGCGATCTGGTTGAGCAGTTAAGTGTCAATCAGGCCAGCAGGGAAACATTTAGGGGGCAATCAAGCTGGCAGGCAGAAGCGGTTAGGGGCAATCAGGCAGGCAGGTAGGTGAGTGATTAGGTGCCAGCGGTCCCAAATTGTGAGAGGGATGTCCAACTGCCGTTTAGGCCTGATCCCTGTGGGACATCCCCTGAGGGGTCCCAGTTTGGAGAGGGTGCAGACCAGGCTGAGGGACACCCCTTCCCCCATGCATGAATTTCATGCACTGGGCCTCTAGCATTGAGTATAGACTAGTTGGGAAAAAAAAGAATATCCTCAAAACCACCAGTGGCCGCTTGACTTCCATTTGATTTCAGCTTTTGGCTTCTACAGTTGTCTCCAAAGTTCAAAATCAAAGATCCAATGCATTTGGATTCTCCTACAAGCCTGCATTTTTTTTTATAAGGCAATAAATGTAGACTCTCATCATTGGGAGTGTTCTCTGAAACACTAACTCCACTCCAGCTAGGGCTATTCAATTATTTTTTATTGTACATGATTGAGAGAAAGTTTGTGCTTTTGCCCAAGTTGGTTTGGCTCAGTGGATAGAGCATTGGCTTGCAGACCGAAAGGTCCTGGGTTCCATTCCAAAGGCATGTACCTCAGTTGCAGGCCCGACAGGAGGCAACCAATCAATGTGTCTCTCACATTGATGCTCTCTCCCTGTCTCTTCCCGTTCCTTCCACTCTCTAAAAATCAATGGGAAAATGTCCTCTGGTGAGACTTAACAAAGAAACAAACAAAAAGTTTGTGCTTTTTTTTCTCCGGTGAATGCTTCTGTAGTTTTTCTTAAAAACATTTTACTAACTTTTTAACATTCATATGCTAAGACATATGATTGTGGTTTTTATTTCCTGAGTGTATACATTAAAATTCCATTGTAATTATGAATTTTTAGGTCAATGTGTAATTTTATCTATTTAACCTTTATATATTCTGAATCAATATTATAATGTGCATACAAATTCAGGTATTTTCTCTCAAACAAATTATTTTTATTGTTATAATTTTTGTCACGAGGCTAGTTTCTTATTTATTCGTAATACCCAAATATTTAACCATAATTGTTTCAATCCCCTCCTGCCAAAGACCACCAGATCACATCTGTAGTTAAGAGAGGTGTTTGAGTTTTAGTATGAGTAGTCCCCCTTATCTTTGAGGTGGATGTTCCAAGACCCCCAATGGATATACCAAACCATGGATAATACCAAACTATATATATATTTACTAATGTTTTTCTGTACAAATATACCTTTAATAAGTTTGTTTATAAATAAGGCATAGTAAGACATGAACAACTAATAATAAACTAGAACAACTATAGGAATACTAGAGGCCTGGTGCATGGATTCGTGCACCGGTGGGGTCCCTCAGCCTGGCCTACACCCTCTTGCAATCCAGGACCCCTCAGGGGATGTCACTGCCAGTTTCGACCTGAGGGCCTGCAGGGATCCCACTGAAACTGGCAGTCCAACATCCCCAAGGGATGTAGTAGTGCGTGAAGTGACAGGCTGCCAGGGAGGAGCCTGGACCAGGTGCCACACTGCTCCCGCTCATCCCAGCCCCACTTCACCTGCCGCTGCTGCTCAGTAGCGTGCTGCCGTGGAGGCAGGAGAGGCTTCTGCAGCCGCAGCTGTGCTCCCCAGCCGTGAGCCCAGCATCTGGTGCCCATCAGGCAGCTGAGCATTGCTCCCACTGTGGGAGTGCACTGACCACCAGGGGACAGGTCCTGTGTTGAGCATCTTCCCCTGGTGGTCAGTGTGCATTATTGCAACTGGTCAAACAGTCATTCATTTGGTTGCTTAGGCTTTTATATATATAGATACTGTAATAAAAGTTATGTGAGCCCTGGTCATGGTTCAGTGGTTAGAGCATCAGCCCACCCACAGAAGGGTATTTGGTTTGATTCCTAGTCAAAGGCACATACCTGGGTTGCAGTTCCCTCCCCACCCCCAGTCGGAGCACCTGCAAGAAGCATCCAGTCAATGTGTCTCTTTCACATCAATGTTTCTCTCTCCCTCCTTCTCTTCCCTCCACTCTGTCGGAAAAGCAATGAAAGAAATATCCTCAGGTGAGGATTTAAAAAAAAAGTTATGTGAATGTGGTCTATCTCTCTAAATATTTTATTGTATTGTAGTGACTCTTCTTGTGATGATGTGGGTGACAAAATGCCTACATGAAGACATGAAGTGAGGTGAATGATGCAGGCATTGTGGTATTGCGTTAGACTACTACTAATCTTATGACATCATGTCAGGAGAATCACCCGCTTCAGGTGATCCTGGATTATCAAGCCATGATAGTTTGATGGTTGGGTGTCAGGAGCAGAAGATGATGGTGATGAAGGGGATATTTTTGCGGGGAGTGGGGTATTGGTTTGTTTTGTGGGGGGTTTTGACTAATGTCTTTTGGAAGAACAGTGTATTCAGAAGTTGGTGTCTTTTTATTAACTCATCAAAGTGTTGCTTCAGAGGTTGTGATCTTTGGTGATCATACAGGTGATTTTAAAGATGTGCTTTATCTGAGGATTGTGTTTCATAATTTTTTCCTTTAATGTCTGCACAATTCAAAACACTTCGGCAAATTTCAGTAATACCCACATTGCTGATTCTGCTTCCGTTTTTCTTTTTCTTCTTTAGATAACAAGTTCTCTTTATGTTTTATTATTTTATTTTTAAATTTACCTTTATTGTTAAAAGTATTACAGGTCTCCCACTTTTTTCTCCCATTGACCCCCTCCACTCAGTGATTCTCTCTCAGCATGGATGTTTCTATCTCCCTCTCCCTTCCCCTCTGAAATCAATAACTATATATTTTTTTTAAATAATAAAAACACATTACTTCAGAATGTGCCTGTATTTGGATTAATGGTCTTTAAAAAAATAATTAAGGTTAAGTGAGTTCATGGGGTGGGTCCTACCTAATGTGAATGGTATTCTTACAAGAAGAAGTCAGGTCACAGAGAAGCACAGAGGAAGCACAGGTGAAGACAGAGATAAAAGGCTATCACCTACTGCCCTGGCTGGTTTGGCTCAGTGGATGGAGTGTCAGCCTGTGGACTGGGGGGATCCCGGGTTTGATTCCAGCCAAGGACACACGCTTGGGTTGCGGGCTCGATCCCCCCGAACCCTCAGTGGGGGCCAGGCAGGAGGCAGCCACTCAG